ATTTGGGACTTCTGAAAACCATGGTTACCACATCAAAAAACACCAAAATATGCAAAAAATCATGATTTTTAACCCAGAATTTGACCCCCGCAAGTAGAATTGTTTTTCTTAAAACCTGTCTGAAATTAAATATCGCCTACTCGGTAACAGAAATACTCACGTTTTAGCAAAGGTCAATCCGGTGGATTTTTCACAATATTTACACATGTGCTGAGTACAAAAATAGACTACATGAAAAGCTAGCTTTTGTTGTGTAGACACAGATTTGTAAATGCCCAAAATTGTAGTCTCAAACCAAATTCAATTTATTTTTTTGAAAAATTATGAAGCCCACATAGTCCACTTCATCATGTATATGCCAACTTAGTGCTGATTTTTTTTTTGATTTTGATACATGTTATATTACAGGGGTTATTCATTGTATAAAAAATATCACCCATGGCCACCATACGCTACTGTACTCTGCTACCTAAAAACAAAATCAACTCTCTGTATAAATATATCAGGTGACCGTTAAGGCCCATGGGCCTCTTGTTTTCTCTCCTACTATACAAGTGAAGGGATTTAAACCAAATGCAATCTGAAGCATGATTAGGGACAAAAGAATCAATTTTGTATAAACTGAGGTGTGTGGGCCTCTTTCTTTGGGGCAGATGGGTTGGGCCCATTAGGGGAAATAGTGGAAAACATCAAAAGATCCTTCTCCTTTTGTACAGATGAAGGGATTTTGACCAAATTTGGTCTGGAGCATCATTAGCCAAAGGGTTCTCGGAGGGTATGGTCCCCCTTGTATGCAGCCATATATCAAAAAGATCTTGGACGAGTTGGAAAATGGGAATTATTCGACTGTAACTTACAGAGTTATTGCCCTTTGTAATACTATTATTATTGGACCTTGTGAACATGATAACTTGAGTAAATGTTAACTGAGTTTGATGAAACTTTATATGCAGCCTTATATCAATAAGATCTCGGATGAGTTCGAAAATGGGAATTATTCGAGAGTAACTTATATATAATTACAGAATTATTGCCCTTTTGTAATAATATTATTATTGGACCTTGTGAACACGAGAACTTGAGTAAATGTTAACCGAGTTTGATGAAACTTTATATGCAGCCTTATATCAATAAGATCTCGGATAAGTTGGAAAGTGGGAATTATTCGACAGTAACTTACAGAGTTATTGCCCTTTGTAATAATATTATTACACTAATTTGTATTGGACCTTGAGTTCATGATAACTTGAGTAAATATGAATCAAGTTTGATGAAACTATGTATGTAGCCTTATATCAATAAGATCTCGGATGAGTTCGAAAATGGGAATTATTCGAGAGTAACTTAAAGAGTTATTGCCCTTTGTAATAATATTATTATTGGACCTTGTAAACACGAGAACTTGAGTAAATATTAACCGAGTTGGATGAAACTTTATATGCAGCCTTATATCAATAAGATCTCGGTTGAGTTGGAAAATGGGAATTATTCGACAGTAACTTACAGAGTTATTGCCCTTTGTAATAATATTATTACACTAATTTGTATTGGACCTTGAGTTCATGATAACTTGGGTAAATATAAACCAAGTTTGATGAAACTATGTATGTAGCCTTATATCAATAAGATCTCAGATGAGTTCGAAACTGGGAATTATTTGGCAGTAACTTAAAGAGTTATTGCCCTTTGTAATAATATTATTATTGGACCTTGTAAACACGATAACTTGAATAAATGTTGACGGTGTTTAATGAATCTTTGTCCGGTAATTATTTGACGGTAACCTGCAGAGTTATTGCCCTTTGTCATTATATTATTATTTGTCCCTGTGATGTTGATTGACATAACACAAGAATAGATGTAAATTCATGTGGTACAGCTTTTTTTTCATTCATGACGCATTTTTGCTACTAACAAGGGGCTATTAAAATTTTGTGCCTTATTTAATAAATCATTGATTTACGCTTTTACTTGTTTCTTTTAACCAAGAACAGAAGACATACAGTTACCAAGTTTGTTCAAAACAGACCCCTTGGGTCAAAATTGGAGTTATCCCCATTTATTTCAGTTATCGTGTTCACAGGGTCCAACAATAATAGAATTACCAAGGGGAATAACTATTTAGTTATGGTCAAATTGGTCCGGTATTCAAGCTCATCCAGGATCTCATTGATACAAAGCTGCATACAAAGTTTCATCAAAATCGGTTCATATTGACTGAAGTTATTGTGACCACAAGGAAAAATTAATGGACGATGAAGCAAGGTCACTCGGACCGACAAAAAGTATGAATTGGCCCCTGGATGACAGTCCTAATTTAAATCGGATGTCAGGTGACCGTTAAGGCCCATGGGCCTCTTGTTGCTTGTTACATAACTTTTTCTTCTTTTGTTTTACATTGCAGATTAGCAGAATGGGATAGTTCCAGTAACATTACGAAGTTGGATTGACCATAATAACTGTGAACTAGAGGGAGATTTGTTGAAAACTAACTGAAAAGAAAAATGTATTCACAGAATGAATCGACAACATTATTCTTCTGATAACTCCTCTGACTTAGAGACCTCACCATCTGACATCATTGAGATTGAGGGGTTTCCTGTTAAGTCGAAGAAAAAGAAAAAAAAGAAAACATTTTCCTTCGATTCCAATGACAATGCCTCCACATCTTCATCACCCAAGCACTCTAAACAAGGAAAAGTAAGGAAGTCCACTACTGGTGATAAATCTACCTACAGTTCTATTCCTAGTAAAACAACAGGAAAAGCAAGTAAGTCCACTACTGGTGATAAATCTACCTACAGATCTATTCCTAGTAAAACAACAGGAAAAGTAAACAAGAGCTTGACAAATATATCAGGAGACAGAGGAGTGAAGAGAAAAACCACATCCTCCTCCAATAGAGAAGGACCGAAGCATGCCAAAGGGGATGGCGGTGACACTAGTAGTGATGACGAGCTTACAGGGAGATCTGCATCTACAGGTAAACGGGTCAGACGAGGGTTAGCCAAAAGGTTGTACGGAAACAACAGCCAGGCAAGTGAAGTATTGCTCAGTGGATCTGGAACAGCTAGTCAGGATGGGTGGTACAGTACAACAAAAGCTCCACAACCATCTACTTCACACACCAGCAGCCAGACCAGCACAACGGACTCGCACAAACCCAACAGCCAGATCAGCACAAGGGACTCGCACAAACCCAACAGCAAAATTAGCTCAAGACGATCTCATGCCAGGCCAGTTTCTGCTGCCAATACTTACAGCTTTATTAAACTGTCCTCTGACTCTGATGTGGTCAAAGAGGCTGTAGAACCTCCGCGTAAGAAATGTATAACTTACCATGACTCAGATCCAGGCTCTGAAGGCTTTGACCCAAGTATATCTGATGAGGCTATGGGTCAGTTGTCTTCTGGCAACAGTAGTGATGATTTGTTTGTAACTCAGACTTCTGCTGGACGGAAATCTCTCCCAAAAAAAATGGTTTCTTCTGACGAATCTACAATAGATAGTGATATCACAATTATGGATAGCCCAGTGCATATGGAGGCACATATGATGGATAGTGATGCTACAATCAATGATAGTCCCATGCATAAGGAAGTCCCTGACACACAGCTTCCAGATCTCACCTTAAAGTTCATGTCCTCATCGTCGGAGGAAGAGCCAGACCGAAATATAATATATACAAGCAGGCAAAAGTCAGACAGCTCTGAAAGGCCATATCATCATATAGGGAAGCAGGGGGTAGACCAATTAGCTCATCACACAACTTCACATACAAACAAAAATAGTCAAGGATCTCGTACTGCTAGGAATTCTGGAGAGAGTCAGGAATCTGAATCCCTTTTTGGGAAGCCTCCGTCCTCATCACAACACATACAAGATGATCCATACAAATTTCCTTCACAAGACAAAACACAATCTATGCCAAGTCTTCATCGGATGTCTTACACAAGTAAGCCAGCTATTTTAGGGTCAGAGGTTAAGCAGGAGCTAGTAACTGACCTGGAAACCACTACTGATTCTGATGCTGATGTACCACTGGCTAGTCTGTCCGTGGACAAATATAAAACAAAATCAACAGGTCGTTCTTCAATCAAACGAGGAAGAGACAATATGGTTGATGATGGAAACTCTGACTTCAATCTCTGGCCACAGTCCAGCAAACGTTTCAGGCAAGGCTGTTATTCTCAGAATGAAGAGAATGAGTCTGCAACCCAGAATTACTCTTTAGGACAGGAAACAATACACAACCAATCCGGAGGACCAGACATCAAGTCTGAGGTGGAGGATAGTAAAAACAATAGTGGGGAAATTCTCATACCCAAAATAGAGCCCCCATCTTATGGCTACACACAGGACCTAGATGTTATGTTTATTGAGGATTCTGACTCGGATTACGAAGACATGTCACAGAAGATTGTTGAGATCAGCAGTGACGAAGATGACAAACTACCGGATTTTGATGATGCTGAAGAATTTAAAGCATATTTCAACCTGCCAGATTGTGATTCTGATGACAATGATTTACAAGTATTGGGACAGAGAAGAGATGAGGATGCGTCTAACAGCAGTGCTGCCAGTAACATTGACTGGGTGAGTGTGGATAGCGATGATGACTTAAGTTATGGACTTTTGACTCAGCAAGCTGATGTCAATAGTTCAATATATGATCAACCCACCCAGGTAGACACTGCAGACACAGAGAGCAGAGTCAGGTTTATAGAAGAGGTGGTGACATTTGACGAGAGTGATGATGAGAATGATGATCCATACGAGAAAGCAACACAGGTAGATGGAGCGGAGGAGGAGAGTACAGTAGATGAAATGTGTGTCTACACCGCAGACACCCAGGTAGATCATGTCGGTATTACTGAGAGTGACGAAGACTTGTACAACCACTGTACACAGATAGACCATCCTAAGGACAAACGATATAAACAACACAACAGGTACAGTACTCACACAAAAGTGGCTGGTCAGCAAGAGGGTGGGGAACCAGGGGAGATGGACAGTGTTTATAGCATGGACACACAGTTGGACGATGTCAGATCTCATGGTGGATCTGATGGTGAGATGGACAGTATCTACAGTGCAGACACACAGCTGGACATTGACCACAGGCCTGAGGTGTACATTGATGTTGATGATAAGGAGGAGGTATATGTAAAGGTGGAAGTAATAGACACTGCTGATCCTCACAGGCAACACACAGAGATTGACCCGTACAACTTTTGTGTCCCAGTGGACAGAAGTCTGATGGTAAATGTTAAACCAAAGCATCATAAGCTCAGAATGGCTCAGACGAATGTTATAGGTCACGGCACTAGGAGTGATGAGGAAGACGATATCTACACTGCACAGACACAGATAGATGGTGCTGGTGTAATTCGTGGCACAGCTGATGAGGAAGAAGATATCTACACTGCACAGACACAGATAGATGGTGCTGGTATAATCCATGGCACAGATGATGAGGAAGACGGTATCTACACTGCACAGACACAGATAGATGGCGCTGGTTTAATTTGTGACAAAGGTGACGGAGAGGTTGATGTCTACACTGCCCAGACTCGGGTAGATGGTGTCAGTATGTTTACTGGTACTGATGACAAAGGTGACGGAGAGGTTGATGCCTACACTGCCCAGACTCAGGTAGATGGTGTCAGTATGTTTACTGGTACTGATGACAAAGGTGATGGAGAGGTTGATGCCTACACTGCCCAGACTCAGGTAGATGGTGTCAGTATGTTTACTGGTACTGATGACAAAGAGGAGGGTGTTTATGCTAGACATACACATCCTCATAGAAACGAAGTCAAAGGTCACTGCTCAAGGTTTTCTAAAGGTGAAGATATCGGTACAAATCAGACACAGGAAAAAGGGCTGATGTCCCAGAAGATTCCGAAAGTCCGTTTTGATTCAGAGAAAATGAAGAAACAGATTATGAGAGCCAGATTACAGATATCAAACAAGGAGGCAGTAAACAGGACAAAAGGTCTTCATCTGAACGAATTACCTATAGGTAACAATAATCTTGAATTACTGAATACTGTCATTAATCCCTGAACACATTTAGTTTATATTTACACCATGGTCTGGTAACATTGAGTATAAAAACTCCAAAATACCTTTTAGTAGTTATCAGTCAAGGTTAAAGGTTAAAGGTCACACCTGATTTTGGGTGCAGGGGGAGTGTACGTGATCACATACCTAAATGTGTTAAAATGTATTTGCTGTAGGTGTGTATGTTGAGGGTACATTTACAATTGTATTTATTGTGGTTGTGTATGCTTTGGACACAACTGTACACTTTTTTTTGAAGTGCAATAACTAAAAAACAAATTCACAAAATTGATGTGATAATAGTGTTTTCGTTATCAAATTGTCTGAAGTGTGTATTTTAACTACATGTGTGTGATTGTGTCTAAACTAGCTATGGAGTGTATATATATTGTTCCTTTCTTTTGTCATCAGAAGCAGATGTACCTACTGATAAGGAACAAATTGAGCATCCTTACCTGGCCGCAACACAGATTGACGGTGGGGATCCCTACCTGGCTGCCACACAGATTGACGGTGGGGATCCCTACCTGGCTGCCACACAGATTGAAGGTGGGGGTCCCTACCTGGCTGCCACACAGACTGACGGTGGGGATCCCTACCTGGCCGCAACACAGATGGACGATGGGGCTGCCCTGTCCAGTAGATCTGACGAGGATAAAGATTTGTATATGGCTAACACTCAAATAGACAATATTACAATCAGTAGCACTGAAGATGTGTCAGAGAAGCTGGCTGGAGATATAACCATCAGCAGTACTGAGGAAGATACCCACATGGACGTTGAGCCTGGGGAGCAGGAGGACACAGAACCTTTCAATATTGCCACACAGTATGACCTTCCTGTGGAAAGCTCCCTGACACCCAGTGATAAATATCGGGAGATAGAAAAATCACTCGTAAAATCCATAGATAAAATAAGGTTTCAAAATCTTATTTCTTTTAAAAAAACAGTGTTACCAACAGAACCTGAAAGACTGAAAACCACTGCTGAAAAAATAGAATCCTTTAGGATTGAGAAATCTACATTTTACTCTAAAAAGTCTATAGATATGGCTGTTCAGCATCAGGACTGTAAGAAACCTAGTTCAGCTACAAGTGGATGGTTGTCTACTTCCACGTCTGTGAATTCAAGGACTCTACCAAAAATGAAAGGGTCAAGGTCAAAGAGACAGCAAAAGGTGCAACTAGACAACTCACAGCAGATAAAAGATAAGATGTCTGTGGCCAGGACTCAGATGTCAAACCGCCAGCAAAAAAGTGTAAAACCAACAGCTCACAGAAACACGTCTCTTACAGGTAATAAACATCTCTCCGGTAATAAACATCTCTCTCAGTTTTTAAACATTTCTCAGGTAATAGACATCTCTCTAAGGTAATAAAAATCTCTCTAAGGTAATAAAAATCTCTCTAATGTAATAAACATCTCTCTAAAGTAATAAACATTTCTCTAAGGTAATAAACATATCTCAGGTAATAAATATCTCTCAGATAATAAACATCTTTCTCAGGTAATAAATATCTCTCTCGGGTAATAAACATCTCTCTCAGGTTATAAATATCTCTCTAAGGTAATAAACATCTCTAAGGTAATAAACATCTATCTAAGGTTTTAAATTTCTCTCGGGTAATAAATATCTCTCAGGTAATAAACATCTCTAAGGTAATAAACATATCTCTCACATAATAAAAATCTCCCGGGTAATAAACATCTCTCTAAGGTAATAAATATCTCTCGGGTAATAAACATCTCTCTCAGTTTTTAAACATCTCTAAGGTAATAAACATCTCTCAGGTAATAAATATCTCTCGGGTAATAAACATCTTTCTCAGGAAATAAATATTTCTCTAGGGTAATAAACATCTCAGTTTATAAATATCTCTCTAAGGTAATAAACATCTCTCTAAGGTAATAAATATCTCTCGGGTAATAAACATCTCTCTCAGTTTTTAAACATCTCTAAGGTAATAAACATCTCTCAGGTAATAAATATCTCTCGGGTAATAAACATCTTTCTCAGGAAATAAATATTTCTCTCGGGTAATAAACATCTCAGTTTATAAATATCTCTCTAAGGTAATAAACATCTCTCTAAGGTAATAAATATCTCTCCGGTAATAAACATCTCTCTCAGGTAATAAACATATCTCTAACATAATAAAAATCTCTCAGGTAATAAACATCTCTCTAAGATAATTAACATCTCAGGTAATAAACATCTCTCTCAGGTTATAAACATCTCTCTCAGGTCATAAACATCTGTCTTAGGTAATAAACATCTCTCAAGTAATGAACATCTCTCTTAGGTAATACACATCTCGGGTAATAAACATCTCTCTCAGGTTATAAACATCTCTCTCGGGTAATAAACATCTCTGAAGTAATTAACATCTCTCTAAAGTAATAAACAGCTCTCTCAGATAATAAACATCTCGGGTAATAAACATCTCTCTGGGGTTATAAACATCTCTCTCAGGTAATAAACATATCTCTCAGATAAAAAACAACTCTCTTAGGTAATAAACATATCTCAGGTTATAAACATCTCTCAAAGATTATAAACATCTCTCTCAGGTAATAAACATATCTCAGATAATAAACATCTCTCTCAGGTAATAAACATCTCTAAAGTAATAAACATCTCTCTCAGGTAATAAACATCTGTCTTAGGTAATAAACATCTCTCAGGTAATAAACATCTCTCTAAGGTAATAAACATACCTCTGAAGTAATTAACCTCTCTCAAGTAATAAACATTTCTCCAAGGTAATAAACATCTCTCTAAGGTAGTAAACATCTTAGGTAATAAACATCTCTCTAAAGTAATAAACATCTCTCTAAGGTAATAAACATATCTCTAAGGTAATAAACATCTCTCTAAGGTAATAAACATCTCTATGAGGTAATAAATATCTCTCTAAAGTGATATACATCTCTCTAAGGTAATAAACATCTCTCAAAAGTAAATTATATTACATCTCTCTAAGGTAATAAACATCTCTCGGGTAATAAACATCTCTCTCAGGTAATAAACATCTCTTTAAGGTAATGAACATCTCTCAGGTAATAAACATCTCTCTAAGGTAATAAACATCTCTCAGGTAATAAACATCTCTCTAAAGTAATGAACATCTCTCAGGTAATAAACATATCTCTAAGGCAATAAACATCTGTCTCAGGTAATAAACATCTCTCTAAGGTAATAAGCATCTCTCTAAGGTAATAAACATCTCTCTAAGGTTATAAACATCTCTCTCGGGTAATAAACATATCTCTAAGGTAATAAACATCTCTCTAAGGTTATAAACATCTCTCTCAGGTTATAAATATCTCTCTAAGGTAATAAACATCTTTCAGGTAATAAACATCTCTCTCAGGTTATAAACATCTCTCTCAGGTAATAAAAATCTCTCTCAGATAATAACCATCTCTCTCAGATAATAAACATCTCTCTGAGGTAAAAATCCTCTCTCAGGTAATAAACATCTCTCTAAAGTAATAAACATCTATCTAAGGTAATAAACATCTCTCTAAGGTAATGAACATCTCTCAGGTAATAAACATCTCTCAGGTAATAAACATCTCTCAGGTTATAAACATCTCTCTCAGGTAATAAACATCTCTCTAAGGTAATAAACATCTCTCGGGTAATAAATATCTCTCTAAGGTAATAAACATCTCTCAGGTAATAAACATCTCTCTAAAGTAATAAACATCTATCTAAGGTAATAAACATCTCTCTAAGGTAATGAACATCTCTCAGGTAATAAACATCTCTCAGGTAATAAACATCTCTCAGGTAATAAACATCTCTCAGGTTATACACATCTCTCTCAGGTAATTAACATCTGTCTCGCATAATAAACATCTCTCTCTGGTAATAAACATATCTCTAAAGTAATCTCTCAGGTAATAAACATCTCTCAGGTTATACACATCTCTCTCAGGTAATAAACATCTGTCTCGCATAATAAACATCTCTCTCTGGTAATAAACATATCTCTAAAGTAATAAACATCTCTCTAAGGTAATAAACATATCTCTAAGGTAATAATCATCTCTCTCCGGTAATAAACATCTCTCAGGTAATAATCAAATCTCAGGTAATAAACCATCTCTCTCAGGTAATAAACCATCATTCTCTGGTAATAATAAAAACTCTCTGGTAAAAAAACTCAACTCTCTGAGGTAATCAACACATCACTCTCTGGTTAAAAAAACAATCTCTCAGTTTAAAACCCCCCACATTTCTCTCAGTTGAAACAAGAGGCCATATGGGCCTGCATCGCTCACCTGGTATTAATCTCACACTTGTAATCTTAAAAGTGGACTAAAATACAGCTACAGGCAGAATATCAGTGTTTGATTAATAAGAACCTTTTAAAAGATTTAAACATATGACGCCTGTGACCTTGAATGTCGAACAAGGACATTAGGTTGAAAGTTGGTCAAGGTCATTCATTTGAACAAACTTGGTAGCCCTTCATCCCAGCATGCTACAGGCCCAAATATCAGTACCCTTGGCCTTTTGGTTATTGAGAAGAAGTTGTTTGAAGATTTGAAGACATTTGACCCCTGCTACCTTGAAAGTGGGTCAAGGTCATTCATTTGAACACACTTGGTAGCCCTTCATCCAAGCATGCTACAGGCCCATTATCAGTACCCTGGGCCTTTTGGTTATTGAGAAGAAGTTGTTTAAAGTAAAATATTGATGCCGGACGGACGCCGGATGCCGCACCACAACATAAGCTCACTTGGCCCTTCAGGCCAGGTGAGCTAAAAAAAAACCCCACATTTTTCTTCGGTGAAGCAAACACATTTTTCACTGGTAAAAGACACGTTTGTCTTGGGTAATAAGCACATGCATGTTGGATAGTTCCTGTTACATGTAAGTACTAGATTAATAAGAACCTTTTAAAAGATTTAAACATATGACGCCTGTGACCTTGAATGTCGAACAAGGACATTAGGTTGAAAGTTGGTCAAGGTCATTCATTTGAACAAACTTGGTAGCCCTTCATCCCAGCATGCTACAGGCCCAAATATCAGTACCCTCGGCCTTTCGGTTATTGAGAAGAAGTTGTTTGAAGATTTGAAGACATTTGACCCCTGCTACCTTGAAAGTTGGTCAAGGTCATTCATTTGAACACACTTGGTAGCCCTTCATCCCAGCATGCTACAGGCCCATTATCAGTACCCTGGGCCTTTTGGTTATTGAGAAGAAGTTGTTTAAAGTAAAATATTGACGCCGGACGGACGCCGGACGCCGCACCACAACATAAGCTCACTTGGCCCTTCAGGCCAGGTGAGCTAAAAAAAACACCCACATTTTTCTTCGGTGAAGCAAACACATTTTTCACTGGTAAAAGACACGTTTGTCTTGGGTAATAAGCACATGCATGTTGGATAGTTCCTGTTACATGTAAGTACTACATAAACCTCAGTGAAACATCGTTCACTTTACCATTACACAACCTAGTTCTTAGCCGTGCAGTTTGTTTTATTGTTCATATGTATCAAAATCAAACATGTTGCTTCTGTGATTTTTATGGAGAACAGACATAGATGTAGTGGTATTTAAGTTAGGTTTTGGCTCGTAGTTATAATTTGACATAAAATTATTGCCATTTTATCCTTTTGCACTTTCAGTTTTTGTATTTTTGTATTTATACGCCCGTCGAAGACGGGGACGTATTATGTTATCACGTGAGCGGGCGGCCGGCGGGCG